TAAAGCATGTCCAGATATACCTGTTCTCCTTTAGACTTTTACCTTAATCCCATCAACCCTCATAATCCTAACTGAAGCTTCCATGAGAACTTCATCAACAGGTTTCAGTTTTACAGTACTAGGAAATGTAGACATTTCCCAGTCAGTCAATATCAATTCTTATAAAATGTTTAGAATAAAGACCATGGGCCCTTTTGGCTCATTTTTAAATTGGGCTGATTTCTTTTTTGTTGAGTTTTAAGAGTTTTTCGTACATTTTGGATGATAGTTGTTTATCAAAAGTGTCTTTTGTACATATTTTCCCCCAAATTGTGGTTTGTCTTCCCATTCTCTTGACATTGTCTTTTGCAGATAAATTTTTTGTTAATTTTAATGATATCTACTTTATTATTTCTTTCTTCCATGTATCACATATACTATGGTGTATCTAAAAAGTAATAACCATACCCAAGGTCATTTGTGATTTTTTTGTTATCTTCTACAAGTTTTATATTTTTGTGTTTTACATTTAAGTCTAATATTTATTTTTAGAAAATATTTTGAAGGGTATAAGGTCTGTGTCTAGATTAATTTTTTTTTTTTTTGCACAAGGATGTCTAGTTGTTTCATCACCATTTGCTGAAAGGAATATCTTTGCTACTTTGTCAAAGATTAGTTGACTATATTTATGTGGGACTACTTCTGGACCTGTACTCTTATTTCATTGATCTATGTGTCTTTTATTTCACCAATACCATACTGTCCTAATTGCTATGGCTTTATGTTAAGCTTCAAAGTCAGTAGTAGTATCAGTCATTGACTTTGTTCTCCTTCAATATTATGTTGGTTATTCTGGGTCTTTTGCCTCATATAAATAAGAATCAGCTTGGTGTCTTTTCCTACCTGACTTCTTGAAGATTGGCTACCATCATGAATTACACAGTAACTATCTGGACTACAAACTTCATGATCAACTGACTACTTCAGAGGAAACAAATAGCCATTAATATCCTTCACCTTGTGAAGGCAATGCACTTAAGACAAAATTGGGAAAAATTAGTCAAAATGCACAAGACCACACCAGATATTATCTTTTTTTATTTGGATTCAGGATGAATTTTGGTAGTGTCTAGACAACTGTGGCATGATTTGAGATTCCTTGGATTATGCAAAGATAAATGAGCCAAAATATAGACTGGTAAGATATGGCCTGAATAAGAAGGAAGAAACCTTGAGAAAACAGCAAAAGAAATGCAAGAACAGAATGAAGAAAATTGGGGGGACTGCAGAAGCCAAAGTTGGTGCTGGCAAAAAGCCATATAGATCTTATATACATTTTGTTAGATTTATACCTAAGTATTTCATTTTGGGAGATATGAATGTAAATGGTATTGTGTTTTTAATTTCAAATTCCCCTTGCTCCTTGTTGATATATTGGAAAGCACTTGACTTCTGTATAGTTACCTTATTTTCTGCAACCTTATTATAATCACTTAGTTCTAGGATTGTGTTTATTCAGTTCATTTGGATTTTCTGGATAGATGAACAAAGACTGTTTCATTTATTTCTTCCTATTCCAAATGTCCTTTTCCCCTATTCTTGTCTAATTGCAATAGCTAAATTTCTTAGTTCATTTGGAGTGTTATAACAAAAATACCAAAGATTGGGTGGCTTCTAAACAACAAAAAGTTGCTACAATTCTGAAGGTTGGGAAGTTGAAAGATCAACATGCCAGCAAATTCAGTATCTCATGAGCATCTGTTTTATCACAGATGACCATCATCTCAGTTTTTGTTTGTCTTAGAAAACCTTTATTCTTCGTCACTTTTGAAGGGTAATTTTGCAAAGTATATAATTCTATCTTGGTGAATATTTTTTCTCTCAACACTTTAAGTATTTGATTCCTGTCTCTTCTTTCTTTCATGGTTTTTGCCACAGTTCGGGGGTAGGTTGAGTGTCCCTCAAGGTATTATTGTGATTAAAGGCTTGGTCTGTGGGGTGGCAATATTGGAAATGCTATGGAACCTAGTGGAAGGTCCTTGGGTCACTGAGGGTTTAACCTTAGAGGGGATTATGAGACCCCAGTCACTCTGTCTGACTTTCTCTCTGTCTTCTTTGGTGATATAAACTCTTCCACAAATGTATTCTTGATATAATGTGCCACCATCTACTGCCCCCACCAGAGATCAAAGCAATGAGGCTACTTGATCTTAGACTTTGAGACTCCCAAACTGCGAACTAAATAATTCTCTTTTTCTTTATAAGTAGCCTATGTCAGGTATTTCATTATAGTGATACAAAGCGGACTAATACCATTTCTGAGCAGACAGACTTCTTGTTTTTATTCTTCTATAGGTAAGATTTCCCCCCTCTGACTTATTTGAAGATTTTTCTGTACATTTTATTTCTTGTGGTTTGAAAACGATATGCCTAGGTGTCATTTTTTGGCATTTATCCTGCTTAGTGTTCTCTGAACTTCCTGGATCTGTGGTTTGGTGTGAAAATTAATTTTGGGGAAATTCTTAGCCATTGTTATTTCAAATAGGTTTTCTGTTTTGATTTCCTTCTTCTTCTTCTGACATTCCCATTATACATATATTATGTATTTTGTAGTTGTCCCACAGTCCTTGGATACTCTGTTCTATTATTTTTTCAGTCATTGTTTTCTTTATTTTTCAGTATTGTAGATTTCTGTTGGTATATCCTCAAGCTCAGAAATTCTTTCTTTATATGTGTCCAGTCTACTAACAAGCCTATTGCAGGCATTCCTCATTTCTGTTACAATGTTTTGCAACTCCAATATTTATTTTTGGCTCTATTTTAGGATTTCCTTCACTCTGCTTATATTGCCCCATCTGTTCTTGCATGCTATTTTATCCATTAGAGCCCTTAACAGTATTAATCATAGTTGTTCTAAATTCCCCATCTGATAATCCCTACATCCCTGCCATGTCTGGTTCTTATGGTTGCTCTCTCTTCAAATCATGTTTTTTGGCATTTATTATGATGTTTATTTCTTCTTGATAGCCAGACATGATGTAACAAGCAAAAGGAACTGTTGTACATAGGCTTTAATACTTTGGTGGTAAAATATGTTTGTGTGGGGGGTGGGGGTTCTGTGGTCCTATGACTAGGCCTCAGTCTTTTAGTGGCCTGTGCCATAGGACTGTGAACATCCATCACAAGAACTTCCCCAGGTTTTTCTCCTTTAGTGGATCAGGACTGGGTATGACTATTTCACTTTTCTGAACTCAGTTAGGCTCTAATAATACCCCATAAGGTAAGGTTCTGGTTAAGTGGTTTCTCTTGAGTAGGTCTTAAGAAGAACAAATGCTTTGGAACATTTCAAAATGATTCCCTTTTCTCCTCCTGTCAAAAGCTTTAAGGGATTCTTCTCCAATGTCTACTTTGAGAACCTGGCTTAGCTACTAGAGGTAAAATTTACAAAACTGTGGACCCCTTATGACTGAGTCTCCCTGGAGTTTTTAATTCTAAGACTTGTCCAGACTAAGCCTCCAGTGATTTGTCAATTATGGTTCAGGTTTTATTACTGCAGCACTTGCTTCCCACAGTGGTTTTCATTCTTGAGTCTCTGCTCCAATAAGCTGTGACTCCCTCTATTAACTTGTCTCTCTCTTTCTAATCTTTATGGCAGTGGTTCACCCTTTTTCTCACTGATCTTATGGATTCATGAATAGTTGTTGTTTGTTCAGTTTGTTCAGCTTTTGTTAGAAAAAGTCTATTTTGCTTGTTTTAAGAAAGAGTAGCAACTTCCAATCTCCTCACATACAGAACTGGAAACCATAAGTCCTCTGTAAAAAAAATATATACCTCTTAGAGAAGTTTGCCAGAGGATCAAGAGATCTGGGTAGTAAACTTGACTTTGTCACAAATCGCATCACTTTGGACAAATCATTCCCATCACCTGGTCTGTTTCCTCATCTGTAAAATGAAGGGTCTGTAGTATATAAGTGTTTTTTAATGGTAATCTTTAGAGCCCTGAAAATTGTGTGTGGTACTGCCACAAGGACTTCCAGGAAGATGGGGTACTGGGTTTTCATCCAACCCTGGTTCAACCAAAACAGCTCTACTTTTCTTATATTTATTTATTATTCAGTGCTGGAGATTGAACTTGGAGCCTGATGAATGTTAGGCAAGTGCTTAACCACTGAGCTATACCTCCAGCCTTATCTTTTCTTACATATTAGACTTCTATACAATTTTATTTAAAACAAAGGTTCTAATGGTTCTAATTTCTCCTTTAAAAAAAGCTTAGGTCTGGGGGCTGGGGCTGGAGCTCAGCGGTAGAGCACTCACCTAGTACATATGAGGCGCTGGGTTCGATCCTCAGCACCACATAAAAATAAATAAATAAATAAAATAAAGATATTGTGTCCAACTACAACTAAAAAAATATTAAAAAAAAAAAAAAAAAGCTTAGGTCTGGGAGTTGTAGCTCAGTGGTAGAGCGCTTACCTAGCACATGTGAGGCACTGGGTTCGATCCTCAGCACCACATAAAAATATAAATAAATAAAGTTATTATTTTTAAAAAAGCTTATAAAACACAAAGATCATTATTTGCTCCTAAATTATATGACCCTGCAATATTATAACATAAAACCCTTCTCAGACATTGAAATCCTTTGCTGAGAGTAAGTACAGAAGAGAGAAAAAGTATGAGGGCACTCAGGATGAATAACCTCATCTTTTTAAAAATTATTTTTAGATGTTGACAGACCTTTATTTTATTCATTTATTTATATGCGGTGCTGAGAATCAAACCTAGTGCCTCACACATGCTAGACAAGTGCTTTACCACTGAGCCACAACCCCAGCCCCAAATAAACTCATCTTATAGTGGGGAAAAGAGCATCAAAATCATAGACCAGAGCCTTGAACAACAAACTGCACACTTGTATTTTTTAGCCAAGTTATCTGGTACAAATAGTGTCTGTTTCTGGTTCTTTTCTATAGTAAAGGTTAAGAACAATTGAAAACTCTTTTTTCTTTATTTTTTAGAAAGAAGGAAATGGGTAGACTTTTGGCTTGCTTGAATACAGGTAAATATCTCCTGGGTTATTTTCAGTCTTTCATCTTACCTCTATCCTCTTTTGAATTCTCTAAGCACATTGAGCACACTGACTTCAACCTAGTATTTGAGTTAAGCCTCCTGCTCTTTATTAATGTTTACCACAAAAGCCTATTTTGGTTTCTTCATCTACAAGCAGAGAAAAGTTTGGCATCCCTACCATTCATTTGCAAATGTGATTTCAGCTTTGTGTTTATTCTAATTTCTTTTTTTTAAAATTTTTTATTGTTGGTTGTTCAAAACATTACATAGTTCTTGATATATCATATTTCACACTTTGATTCAAGTGGGTTATGAGCTCCCATTTTTACCCCATATACAGATTGCAGAATCACATCAGTTACACATCCATTGATTTACATATTGCCATACTAGTGTCTGTTGTGTTCTGCTGCCTTTCCTATCCTCTACTCTCCCCCCTCCCCTCCCCTCCCCTCCCCTCCCCTCTTCTCTCTCTGCCCCCTCTACTGACATTCATTTGTCTCCCTTGTATTATTTTTCCCTTTCCCCTCACTTCCTCTTGTATGTACTTTTGTATAACTCTGAGGGTCTCCTTCCATTTCCATGCAATTTCCCTTCTCTCTCCCTTTCCTTCCCACCTCTCATCCCTGTTTAATGTTAATCTTCTTCTCATGCTCTTCGACCCTACTCTGTTCTTAGTTACTCTCCTTATATCAAAGAAGACATTTGGCATTTGTTTTTTAGGAATTGGCTAGCTTCACTTAGCATAATCTGCTCTAATGCCATCCATTTCCCTGTAAATTCTATGATTTTGTCATTTTTTAATGCAGAGTAATACTCCATTGTATATAAATGCCACATTTTTTTTTATCCATTCTTATAAAGACATTTCCCCTCACTTCCTTCTTTTCTTGCTTCCTTCCTTTCTCTTTGGCCACTTAATCCTAACCTATGAATTAAACAGGTAAACAAAGGATCAAGACATTTAAAGATTCTTGGAACTCTGCTGGCTTTCAGTGCCCTTTGACTCAAATTCAGATTATTTACTCTCTTATTTTCAAACTGTCTATCTACCAAGTCTGTGTCATGTCTTCTACTCTTTTTTTTTAATATTTATTTTTTTTTTTTGGTAGTTGAACACAATAACTTTTATTTACTTATTTTTATGTGGTGCTGAGGATCGAACCCAGGGCCTTGCACATGCGAGGCTAGCGCTCTACCGCTGAGCCACAACCTCAGCCCCATGTCTTTTACTCTTGATTCCTCTCTGATCACTTCATTCAAGCTAATCTCCTAGCAACATCATATTTCATTTTACCAACTCTGCTTTCTGAGGTGGTTTTCCTTTTGCTTAACAGGTTTTCTTAGGTCTCCTGCCCATGTATTCCTTTTTTAATGTACAAAGACACATGAAAAAGTCCATATCTTAGAAATAATATTCCTAATATTGCAGTAGTTCAGTTTTATACCTTAAATACATGTCAACAGGATGGTAAACATTGCACAATGGTTCAGAAGCCAAACCTTTTCAAAAGAGGAAGGTTTTCCTGATTGGCTTTCTTATTTATCAGAAGAGCATGGGTAAGTTAAAAGTGCTTTCTGGTGACAATGGTATGTTTGGGTTCTATACTGTGCTTGCTGTGGGAGCTAAGTATATATTATACCAGCCTTTCAATATTCTTCCAATTCTCAATCTCCATTTCAGGTTTTTGTTTTTCTTTTTTTTTTTTTTGTGGGGGGTGTTATTGTTTGCTTCTGGGGATTAAGGAGAAATTAGGCATTCTAGCCCAAGCTAAGGAGCATAATTTTGTGGACCTTAAGTTATAATTCATCTTTTTATTCTTAGACTCATTTCCATAGAAAATGAAGAAAACTAATATTGTGACCCAGGGCCTGCATATACTAAGTATCATATCAGTATTTTTAATTATGATTCCTATTCTTTATTTCTCTACATGTAAATCATATATTTTTACCTCAGGTGGTGAATGATTGCACTAATTAAAATTATAAATCTCTCCAAAGACGTGTTTGTTTCCCAAAATTTTAGTTAACGGCTTCTTGGAGCTTGGTAATGCTTTTTGTCATTTTAATTACTTTTGATATGCACCCACACACACATATACAAAAAAGAACTTTCTAAATCCAAACTCATGTGTGGCTGTTTTTAAAGCAGGATTAACTGCTTTGCTAGAGAAAAAGGTAAAAGACCTCAGTGTTACATTTTCCTGTTTATTGCAGCACTCCTGACACTAGCCCAGGCTTTTGATGGAGAATCTTTGACATTGGATTCCAGAGCTAATGAAGCTCATTGGTTTCGAAAAATAGGTAAAAGAAAATTCTATGACTATGGGAAACATTGTGGGGTGGTAGAATTAGATGTGAATTCAAATTCTGGCTCTGTCATTTGTAGCTATGGGTGTAAGTATAACTTGCTTAATCTCAGTTTCATTATTGATAAAATGTAAACATATATATATATATATATATATATATATATATATATATATATATATATATGTCATGTGGTCATTAATGGTTTTGTATGAAACAGTGTATCTACCAGACACATTGTAGGATACTCAATAACAGGTTTTTTTCCTTTTTTCTATAGATAGGGTATAAGAATAAAAAGATGAAATATAATTTCCAGTCCCTAAAACTATGCTTTTAAATTTGGTCTAGAATGCCTCATTTTTAAAATAAATATAGTTACCAAAAATAAACTCCATGCAACAATACAGATGAATTTCACAAAAAATAACATTGAACCAAAGGATCCAAACATCAAAGAGTGAATATTGCATGATTCAGTTTATTTATAGGCAAAAAGAAAAATATAGGCAAAATTCTATTTATTTATTTTGTGGTACTTGGATTAAACCCAGGGGCACTCTACCACAGAACTACACTCATACCCCCTTTTTATTTTGAGACAGGGTCTTGCTATGCTGCCAAAGCTGGCATCAAATTTAAGATCCTCCTGCCTCAGCCTCCCCAGTGGCTGGGATTACAGGTGTATGCCACCACATCCATCTCAAAACTAATTCTTGATGTCAGAAGTCAAGATTGTGGTGACCTTTGAAGGGAGGTTGGGCTTGAAAGGGAAAGGAGTTTGTGAGTTTCTGATATTATCATGATCTTTCTTGATATGAGTACAAGTTACATAGGTATGTTTACTTTGTGAAAATTCTTCATGCTGGACAATTGTGAGTTGTGTTATTTGCTCTATGAGGGTTTTATTTAATACAAATTATTTAAAACCTGTGGTAGCAGTTACTGCATAATATCTCTTTGTCACAAAGTGACATTATTATAATATTATTATATATTATTTCATATTGTTTTACATGAACCTTTTTCTGTCTTGTGGGATTTACTGGGGCTCTAATTAAGAAGAAAGACTAAATCAGCAACCTTGCTTCTAAGAAATTTATGCAAATAATGGAATAAAAACAAAGAACATTTAAACTATACAAAGTTTTAATGACTTTGATATTTTGAAAGTTTGAAAAGGTGTTTTCCTACTTCTTTTACTAAATTTTAATTTTAATTTTCCAAGGTGAAGATCATGCTGAATATTGTCTAATTGAGGCTTTCGTGGCTGTTTGGGAGATGTGGATCTCTCCTGTAGTCTTCCTTTAACCATTACTTCTACTTTATTCTGTTGATGATTTTTTGAAACAAGATCTCACTGTGTTGCCTAGGCTCCTCTTGAGCTGCTGGGCTCAAAGGATCTTCCTGTCTTAGCCCTCCCTGTGCTGGGACTACAGGTGCATGCCACCACATCCAGCTCTTTGCTGAAATTTAACTTCCTTTTACCAATTCCAATTGGTGATCTCCTTGGTGACTCTCATATTTTAGGTGGATTTGTGTCAACTAAGAACTCTTTTGTATGTCCCCAATTAAAAAAAAAAAAATTCAACAGTACCTTCATTGGTCATTGGCCTAGAATGAAAGCAAAAAAGTAATAGGAGTCTCTAAATTTACATCCAAAATTTTTTTTCTCTATAAACCTAAAGTTAATTTCTTAATCCCTGTGAAACCCCTTGGTAATATACTAATATTAAAGATCTAGATAGCAGAATATATAATGGTGCAGACTAAAAAGTATATTTTTATATTTATATTATTTCATGTTAACATTCAGCTTGGAACTTGGCTGTGCAATCTGACAAAGACCCAGTAACAATGAGAGAGTGTTTCATGCTTTCTTATGAGGTAAGTAGGTTCTAAAAAGAATCTAAATATGAACAAGAAGGATCTGACCACTAAGAGTTAAGTATAAGCTGGGCATGATGGCTCATGCCTGTAATCCCAGCAGCTTGGGAGGCTGAGGCAGGAGGATCATGAGTTCATAAACCAGCCTCAGCAACTTAGCAAGGCCCTAATCAACTCTGTAGACCCTGTCTCTAAATAAAGTATAAAAAGGGCTGGCGATGTAGGTCAGTGGTTAAGCATCCCTGAGTTCAGTCCCGGGTGCAAAAAAAAGAAGAGCTAAGTGTAGAGTAGAATTGCCTTTTCATCTTGGAACATTTAGTACATGTCTAAGCAAAAATGGCCCAAGGAGAATCTGTTCCCTTCATTGTAGAATGTAAGAATGTGGGACAGTTATCCCTGTACCAGAATATGATAAACACCCATCATGGAACCTAAAGTTCTACCATTACAGAATTATTCTTTTTCCTTTGAAGAGATTTCAGTCTCCCAGAGTCCTGTATTAAAGCAATATTATCTTTTGGAGGGAAATACTCCAAGCATTGTGATTTACCAACACAGGAAGGGTTATGGTAATAAGTCTATAGGAATGTAAAGTATGTATCTGGGTACAGCCTGGGCAGAAAAAGGAGATTAAGAAGTCTGGACTTTCTATATAACTTTTCCTAGAGCAGGTTCTGTGTGTAAAGGTTTATGAGTTTGTTAATCAATTATAAGTGTTTGAAAATAGTCCTGAGTCTCCAAGTTAGAGTTTAAATGCTACAAATAGGATTAAGTATTGGATGGAAGGGTTAGAGAGTATCCCTCATACACAGATAGGTCAAGATTAATTAAATGTTTAGAATTTTAGAGCTGAAAAGAACCAGAGATAATCTAGCACAAGTCCTCCCCCGCTTTTTTAAAACATAACAGTAGCCTGAGACCTAAAGAAATTGGTTATCTTGAAATTCTTTTAATTCAGTGATGCTAATGGTTGCATCACTAAATGTTTGGGGAGATTAATAGTCTTTGCAAGTTTAGGTAGAATTGCCATTAAATTAGGCCAAAGGAACCAGCTTTAGTTTTGACATTTGTGATAGCACTGTAGGACTGGCATGTAAGAATCCAAGTGGCTTAGAGTCTTATTGTTGTACAAAGCTGGGAGGTTTTTTTTCCCTAAAACTAGAGGGCAAGATTTAATGATGAGGTTATGTTTAATGCCTGTCAAGATTTGACATTGTGTCTTTTAACCATGACAATATATGTACTAATTTCAGCTCTATTAAATACAAAGGGGAAATCTATTTGCCAGGAGAAAAAATCACCTAGAAATTACAGTATAAACCAAGAAGTAAATCACTAGATCGAAATACAGGGGCAAATGACAGTACTTGTCACTGGAAAAGATAAGAAAACTGAAGAAATGAAGCTTTTTATCTAGTAAGGTGCAAAAAACAATGGAAAGTAATATAAAATTAAAACTGTAAATCAGTGTTATAGTCTATATAATTTTTATGGTGACATGTGCTTTTTCAGCTGAATTTCTTCATTCAGAGAGGATGTTGCTGATTTTCATTCTGATTGTTTGTGTTCACCTGACAGAATTCTCACTATTCATTGATGTTTTGGTTATTTCTTATCAGCTGTCCCAGTTTTGTCCTTCTGATCAAGTAATTCTGATTGCACAGAAAACATGTTTACTTATGGCAGCTGCAGTTGATCTAGAGCAAGGACGAAAAGCTGCAACAACTTTTGAACAGGTAATGTGCAACCTTCAAAAAAGACAAAAGTTAAGTATGCTATTTGGTATGTTTGCCTTCCCTGATACACTTATTTTTTATTCTCTATAGAGAATTGTTTCCTCCATTCCAACAGCACTTTGATTTCAAAGTTTATAATAGCTAATTCCTTACTAAGCAAAGATCACATTTGGTTTAACCTCTTCTGTTTAAGAAGGTAGACTATCTCTTCTTTTAGAGTACCCACCCCATGGGTCACTCTTTCCTAGTCTGATTTTAAATATTCTTTTTAAAATTTTTTTTTTAGTTTTTGATGGAACTTTATTTTATTAATTTATTTGTATGTGGTGCTGAGAATCAAAGCCAGTGCCTCACACGTTAGGCAAGTGCTCTACCACTGAGCCACAACTCCAGCCCCCTTAAATATTCTTTATTTTCATTTTCTCCCTGTATTTACATATGGCCCATAGAAGTTTTTCTCCCACATTTGTTCCTGTTTGCACATTTTCTTTCTTTTTTCTTTTGCTTTTCTCCCTTGCCTCTCCCTCCACCCCCACACCCAGTACTGGGAATTGAACACAGGGGTGTTCTATCACTAAGCTACATCTCCAGCCTTTTTTTTTTTTTTTTTTTTTTGAGACACTGTCTCACCATGTTGCCCATGTTGGCTTCAAACTTGCTATGCTCCTGCCTCAGTTTCCCAAGTCGCTGGGATTATAGATATGTACCGCTTTGCCCACCTTCTTTCTACACATTTCTATGGAAGAACTCAGCTCTTTCCATAGCTTTGATAGCCATCTGAAATTATTTATTTAAGCTATTTTTCTTCCCTCAATTGCATTTGTTTTCTTTGTCCTGTGTCCTTTAATATCTCATCATTAACTCAATTTTAACAAGAAGACAGGAATTCTTACCTTTGCCTGAATTCTACCCTAAGCTTTTTAAACTTTACCTCTTTTAGGAACTACTAACATTGCTGTCTCCCTTACACCAGATTATTGGTTGGCCTTCAGCTTTTTTTTTTCAAGCTGAGAAAATTTTCTCCAAGTCAGACCACCAGCATTTTGTGTATGATTTTTATGATATAGATCCTCTCTCTGCTTGGTTTCTCTTACCTGGACAAAGAAAACTTCCTAATTTCCCATACTTGTCAGCTTCTCTTCTCTCCAACTGGTATAAAATCCTTCTTGCTTTTTAACTTCTTCCTTTTCCTACTATCTTCTTCCATGTTATTCATTCCATAGCTTAACTATTGTGAATTGAGCTGCATCATAGATTAGTTTGCTGATTTTAAGTCCTTTGTGTGTATGCAGAGGAGATGGATAGCTGGGTCAAATGGTGGTTCCATTCCAAGTTTTCTGAGGAATCTCCATACTGCTTTCCATAGTGGTTGCACCAATTTGCAGTCACACCAGCAATGTATGAGTGTACCTTTTTCCCCACATCCTTGCCAACATTTATTGTTACTTGTACTCTAGACTGTTTCCATTCTGACTGGAGTGAAATGGAATCTCAGTGTAGTTTTAATTTGCATTTCTCTAATTTCTAGAGATGTTGAGCATTTTTCATACATTTGTTGACCAATCATATTTCTTCTTCTGTGAAGTGTCTGTTCAGTTCCTTTGCCCATTTTGATAGGGTTATTTGTTTGTTTGGTGTTAAGTTTTTTGAGTTCTTATATATCCCAGATATTAATGCTCTATCTGAGATACAGGTGGCAGAAATTTTCTCCCATTCTGTGGGCTCTCTCTTCATGTTCTTGATTGTTTCCTTTGCTTTGAAGAAGCACCATCCCATTTATTGGTTTTTTATTTTATTTGCACTTTAGGAGTCTTGTTAAAGAATTCGATTCTTAAGCCGACATGATGGAGAGTGGGTCTACTTTTTCTTCTGGTAGGCACAGGGTCTTTGGTCTAATGCCTAGGTCCTTGATCCAATTTGAGTTGAGTTTTGTGCAGGGTGAGAGATAAGGGTTTAATATCATTATGCTACATACAGATTTCCAGTTTTTCCAGCACCATTTGTTAAAGAAGCTATCTTTTCTCCAATATATATTTTTTTGCATCTTTATCTAGTATGAGATAACTGTATGTATGTGGGGTTTTCTCTGTGTCCTCTATTCTGTATCATTGATTTACATGTCTATTTTGCTGCCAATACCATGCTGTTATTGTCACTATAGCTCTGCAGTATAACTTAGGGTCTGGTATTGTGGTGCCTCCTGCTTCATTTTTCTCACTGAGGACCAATTTGGAGGCCTCATTCTTAAGAACTACTGGGATCCCTTTTAAGAAACCTTTACATTTTAAAAGAAGATGAGAAAAGAATCTACCTTCCTCAGAACAAAATAAAAAAAAAAAAACCAATTCTGCTTCTTACCAGGTAAAGGTAAAAAAGTATTTTAATTCTGCTGGTGGTGATGCACACTTGTAATCCTAGTGGCTCAGGAGGCTGAGGCAGGAGGATCACAAGTTCAAAGCCAGCCTCTGCAACTTAACAAGGCCCTAAGTAACTTAGTGAGACCCTGTCACAAAATAAAAACTAAAAAAGGCTGGGTATGTGGCTCAGTAGTTAAGCACCTCTGGGTTCAATACCTAGTACCAAAAAAAAAGTAATTTTATTCTCAATAGGCACTTTTGCTTTACTAAAAAAAACAGTAATAACATGTTCTCCTTATATGGTTTTAACTTTTGAAAAGTTATTCTTTTTCTGTTGGTAGTCCTGAGTTTGTTAAACAACAGTGTATCTTAGCAAATAGATATCAACTTGGTGTGAAGGAAATTTCACAAACTCTTAAGTACAGTCCTTAATTATTTTGTTTGTTTCTAACAACTGTTATTTATTTTTTATTTTTTCTCACACACTTCTGTGTTTCCCAAGAACTCTGTAACCTAGTAATCCTTCTATAGTCTGTGCTTTTGAGAGCATTTCTATTCAGATAATTCAAGATATACTTCTGCCTTTCATCATCTAAGTGTGGTCCCTATGAATTAGACTGTGGTGCTTTCTCTCTATAAAGAATATTTGTTGAATTCTGTTATATACAACTGAACCCTATTCTTCCTTTTCTTTTCTTCTCTCTCTCTCTCTCTCTCTCTCTCTCTCTCTCTCTCTCTCTCTCAGTTACCCAGGTTGACCTTGAGCTTGTGATTCTCCTGCCTCAGCCTGTAGACTAGTTTGGACTACAGGCATGTGCCACCATGCTGTTGGCTGTACCCTTTTCTTTATACCCCCATAAATCAGGGTATTTATAAATAAGATGATGATGAAGGAATACACAAAGACTGCATAGTCCTATCTACATTGTCTCTACCCTCCTGAGTTAAGGGAAAGTGAGAAATGCTTAAAACATTAGAGTAATTGCAATTTGAAAAGGAATTACATATTTTTCCTAGAATAGGGCTGGGTAAGCTATTGCCAACTGTCCAAATCAGTCCCATGGCCTTTTTTTGTACAGCCTGAGAGTTAAAAATGGTTTTTACATTTATAAAAAGGTTATAAACCAAAATAAAGCAAAACATGTGAAAGTGAGTATATGTAGCTGGCAAAGCCTAAAATATTTACTGTCTGATGTTTTACAGAAGAAGTGTCCTGACCCTTGTCCTAGATTATTTTTTAACAGACTTATTGAGGTACAATTCATGTTCCTTATAATTCACTCATTTTTAAAAATTTTTATTTTTGATAGTGCTAAGGATCAAACCAGGGCCTCACACTTTCTAGGCAAGCATGCTTACTATACCCCAACCCAAATTTACCCATTTAAATGTACACTTTAATGGTTTTTAGAATATTTATATGTGTGAAACTATCAACATGACCTAATTTTAGAACATTTTCATCACCCTAAAAAGAAACTCCGTACCCATTAACAGTTACACCTCATCCCTGCTACCAGCCCTAGGCAACCACTGATCTAATTTTTGTCTCTGTAGTTTTGCTTATTCTTGGTATGCCATCCTACAATATGTAGTCTTTTTTGATTGGCTCTTTTTATAAATTTTGAAATATTTTCAAGTTTCTCCATGATGTAACATGTATCAATAAATATTTCATAGATTTTTATGATGTAATAACATTTCATTGTATATACAGTGTGTATATTTCATTTTATTGTGATATATGTATAGATAGATAGATAGATATCACATTTTGTTTATCCATTCCCATTGATGGGCACTTGGGTTGTTTTCACTTTTCAACTATTATAAATAATGCTTTGATAAGTATTCATATATACATTTTTGTGAACATGTTTTTCTTTCAAGTATGTACATAAGAGTTGGATTGGTGGAATGTTTTATGGATGTCTGTCAGGTCTAGTAGGTTTACAGTGTTGTTTAAGTCTTCTATATCTTTGATGATTTTCTTCCAGGTTGTTCTATTCATTATTTATAGCAGGATGTTGAACTTTCCAACTCTTTTTTTAAGGGGGAGTACTGGGGACTGAACTCTGGGGCACTCAACCACTGAGCCACATCCCCAGACCTATTTTGTATTTTATTTAGAGACAGGGTCTCACTGAGTTGCTTAGTGTCTCACAGTTGCTGAGGCTGGCTTTGACCTTGTGATCCTCCTGCCTCAGGCTCCCTAGCTTCTGGGATTACAGGCATTCACCACTGTGCCCAGCAAATTTCCAACTCTTATTGTTGAAATGTCTATTTCTTTAATACTGTCAATTTTTGCTTTGTATATTTTGGGGCTCCATTATTTGTTGCATATGTGTCTATAATTTCTATATCTTACTGACGTAATCACCATTTTATCAATATGAAATTTCTCTCTTTATCCCTAGTATTTTTTGTTTTGGAACTCTAGTAATGTTATTTTAACATTTCTACTGTTGCTATTTCCACAGCATGGGTCTTCCCCATCATTTTACTATATTATTTTATTAGTACTGGGGATCTAAACCAGAGGTGCTTTAGCACTGAGCTATATTCTTGGCCTGTTTTATTTATTATTTTGAGGCAGGATCACACTAAGTTGCTGAGGCTGGTCTTGAACTTGCAGCCCTCCTCAGCCTACTAGCCCTCTCAGCCTACTAAATCACTGGGATTACAGTCAAGTACCACCATGCTTGGCTACATTCAATATTTTATCTTTAATATAATGCTTGTCTCTTATAGACATAGTTAGACCACGTTTTTTCTTAACATACAGTGTGACAATTTGTGCCTTTTACATCACTTAATCCAGTCACACTTAATGTTATTATTTTTATGGTCAAACTTAATTCTGCCATTTCACATTTTGGTTTCCATGTGTTTCATGTATTTTTTTTTTTCTTGTTTTCTTCCTTTTGCATTAAGTGAATGTTTGCTAGTGGAATATTTTAGTTCCTTTAACAATTTTTACTTAATAGTTTTTATTTATTTTCTTAGTGGTTGCTCTAGGGCATGCAATATAGATCTTAATTATTCTGCCTCTACAAGAGATTATGAATTCAGTTCCAGTGAGATATAGAAATGTTATTCCTATTAGTTCTATTCCCTTATCACCTTTTTGTTCATCATATTATACACATTACATCTATATATGCCCCAAACACAACAATACATCTTATAATATTACTTTATACAATTTTATGTATTTGTAAGAAACTAAGAAGAAAGGCAAGCAAGTATATACTACAGTTTGGTATATTAACCATCTCATTTGCTATTTGTGCTTCTCTTCACTTCTTCCTATGGATTCTAGTTACCATATGGTCACATTTTCTTAACCCAAACAACTTTGTTCCCACCTGTGTCTTGTGTTGTTATTGTGAAATATATTACATTTCTATTTTTAGAGGCCTAGTAACACAAAAATAAATTTGTGTGTGTGTGTTTGTGTGTGTATTATATAATCCCTTTTGGTTTTTTGGTGCTAGATATGGAGCCCAAGGCCTCTTTCATGCTAACCATATGCTCTACCACTGAGATAACACACACAGACCCATAATTGCTTTTTAAGACAGTTCAGAGATCAAAGAAGAAATATACTATATTTTGTATTTACAAAATTATTTTACTGATACTCTCCTTTTTAATCTGAATTCACATTACTTCCTGGTGTCACTTGCTTTCAGATTGAAAACTTGTTTCAGAAATACAATCTCTGAACTCTTGTTTATCTGGGAATGTATTTCATCTTTAGTTCTAAATAATAGTTTTGGTGAACATTGCATTATTCATGGGTTGTTATTTTTATTCATCACTTTCAGTTTATTTATTTATTTGCCATGCTGAGGATTGAACCCAGGTCCTCATGTATACTAGGGAAACTCTCAACCACTGAGCTACATCCCCGGTTCTCATAACTTTGAATGTTTTCACACTGCCTTCTGACCTCCATTTTTTTAATGAGTCAATTCTTAATGTATATATGCATGTGTGTAATGAGTCATTTTTCTCTATTTTCTAATTTTTCTCTTTTCTTTTACTCTTTTGAATGGAATATATCTGGGTTGAATTTCTTTGTGTTTTTCCTGTCTAGAGTTTGTTGGACTTCTTAGATGTGTAGAGAATGTTTTTCATCAAGATTGGGGAGATTTCAGCCATTTTTAATTTTTTTTTTTTTTTTTGCTCCTTTTCTCTCATATCTTTTGATAATTCCATTAGGTATATGTTGGTGTGCTTCATGGTTTCCTACATTTTACTAAGGCTTTACTTTTCTTCATTCTTTTTCATTGTTTCTCATACTTCAAAATCTCTATTGATCTAGCTTCATCTTTGTTGATTGCTTCTTCTGCCAACTCAAGCCTAATGTTGATCTCCTCTAGTGAATTTTTGTTTCAGATTTTGTATCTTTCTCTCCTCCTCCTCCTCCTCCTCCTCCTCCTCTTCCTCCTCCTCCTCCTCCTCTTCTTCTTCCAATGCTAAGCAAGCACTCTCCCACTGAGCTGTATCCCTAGCCTAGTTATTATATTGTTAACTCTAGTATATCCATTAGATTCTTTGATTCCTGTCTCTTTATCAAGATACTGTATTTGATTAATATTGTTATCAAACCTTCCTCCTCTTAGAATGTTATCCTTTTGTTATTTGAACATATTTAAAACAGATGCCTTGAAATATGTGCCTGCTAAGTTTAATACCTGAGCCTTTTCAAAGTTTCTGTTATTTGCTTTTTTCTTATATATTGGTCAAAGCTTCCTGTTTCTTTGTATATCTTATAATTTTTGTTAAAAATCAGACATTTTAGTTAATTTATTATAGCATCTTTGGATACTGATCTACCACGTGGGGCTTAGTGTTGTTAATGTTTGCTTCTGTTTAGTTAATTGGGAATATAGGGAAAATAGTTCAATGAGGCCTATTTTCCCTATATTTCATAGTTTCTGATGCCACTCTTCAAAGGGCAGTCTTTGTCTTAGCAATTACCCTGACCTATCCTTCTGAAAAGAATAGTGATTTTAGTAGAGTTCTTTAATATTATCTCTTTTCCTTATCTCCCTCTTAAAGCTTCTCTTTTCTTGGTATCACATGCACCTATTGGCCTTTAAAGATGATTGGGCATTTTATGTGTGTGTGTGTTTTGAAAGTGCTTTTTTGATATAAATTAAAATGGTGCCCCTTTGAAGGGAAAGGAATCATCCTAGCTGTCTTTTTGCCTGCTTCCCTCTATAAACTTGAAGTTACTCTACTGTTTTATATTGATTTCATTGAGCTACAAGACTCGCTTTACTTGCTCATGTCATACAGGTGCTGTAACTCAGGAAACAGGTTCAGGGTTCAGTAGGTGGAAGAAGATGTAAGACATGGTGGAAATATTGGTCATCCTTTATTTGGAGGTAGACATAGCCATTAGCCAGCCCCCAGCTTCAACTTCAGCCCTCTAGCCAGTTCCATTTTAGACCCCATTTTATATTCAGTTCAAACAAAGAAGGCACACTGCCAGCACATTACATAAGGGAGGGGGGGTGCACAAGCTCCCAAGTTAATTTTTATGACCTTGAGTCTATACTCTGAATCACAGTGTTTCTGGCCTTGACTAACCATAACAGCCAGTTTCCAGCCCTGGCAACACACTGAAAACATAACATAGCCTGCCAGAAGTCTCCACGAGGGAGCCTAAATACAGCCATTTTGGGCCTGCCCCAGCAGCTCACTACCAAAATTTCCATGGTTTTTAAAATTGCCCTTAGCCTTGAACTTCCCCAGGTTCTATTCTAATCCAAGATTTTCCCCTTAGGGAGAACTACAGAGCTCACCCTTCTAATGACCTACTACATTTACTGAGCAGAAACTGAATTACTATTTGGGAGGTGGGGGCAGGGACAGTGGCCCACTTCTATCAGAGTAACAATCCAGCTCTGAATGGGCAAGAGTTATAATCCCTGGTATTTTTGCCTTGCCTCTCCCAGCATGGAAACTATACTATAAGCAAACAGAGATAAGAACAATTGAGACCAAGAAGAGAGCCCTAGGCTTCTCAGCTGTGTTTTTTTATGATATAGCTTCCATGGTACAGACCTGGGGGATGAAAAGTACCAGCAGTCTGGCCCTCACAGGAATCCCTAACCTTGAAATATGATCACATCTACCCAAAGCAGTGCGTACATCACACTGAACTGGGGGTTGGTGAACACATCTTGGTTCAAATGTCACAGGTCCTCATTCGTCTTACTTAGGCTTAGCAGATCTCTTGGGGTAAAAGTTTCTCCACTTTCTGTATGCCCTCAGGGCAGGCAATTTCTTGAGACTTTACATGATAGTGTTTTATTTGTTTTGTTTTGTTTTTGTAGTTCTGAAGATGGAACCCAGGGCCTACATATGCCATACATGACTGTGTTTTATAATTTTTGTCTGTTTTTTATTTTTATTTTTGTTTTGCTTGGAAAAGGATCTATGGAATGCCTCATACAACCATTCTGAAAGTGCTTTTTTCTTCTATTCTAAATTATTAAAGAAATTGACAGTGCTCGGTTTTTCTATTTAATCCTTATTTTTCTGGGACGATAGGTTGAAGTGCATTTAGAGTTTACATTCCTACAGCAATTCCAAAATGTTCACTTTAAACTAACATTTTAGCTGGGCGTAGTGGCACAAGCCTGAAATCCTAGCAATTATGGAGGCTGAGATAGGAGGATCGCAAATTTGAGGTTAGCCTCAGCAATTTAACGAGGTCGTAAGCAACTTAGTGAGATCCTGTCTCAAAATAAAAAAAAATAAAATGGACTGGGGATGTTGCTCAGTGATTAATCACCACTGGGTTCAATCCCTAGTACTTGAAAAATAAATACAAAGTAAAAATAAATAAATTAACATTTTATTTTTAATTGCTTTTAATTAAAATGATATGAGATTATGCTAATTTGCTTAAAGTTCTTTTTGTTGAGACTAATTATCTTGTTGCCAAATAGACCAAGTTACTGAATCGTGCACTTGAGCAAACCCAGAAATGCAAAGACATCTGGAATCTTCTGAAACAAACAGGTACAGTGGGAACTAGAAGTTTGGTAACATAGCTATGAAAGAAGTTTACAATCTGAATAATCACCTCATTTGTCATGAGAATTTTCTGCAATATTCAATAACAGCTAAATTATTTATAAGAACCAATTTTTCCATAATGTATGTTAGTATTTTTATTCTATAACACTGATTAGAGTAAGAATATTATGCACTTTGACTTCTGGTAAAAGTACAATATTAAATATAAAAGTAAGATTATTATTGTACAACATGCTATTGCTCTTAGGTCACTAGATACTAATAGATGTAGATGACAGAGTCTTTCAAACCACAATCAAAATACTAGCCACTGCTGGTAGTTTATTATGAATTATCAAAATTGTAATAAAACTTTTGAAGTCATGTAATAACTTGCTACAGTTTCCTCATTAAAGATGGTATTGTTTTTTAGGTATAGATAGACAATGTTATAGTGTGCCCATCTGTTCGTGTTTTAGAATTCTTTTAAGTCAATGGGTATTCAATTGAGTTATATGCCTTTTCAGAATCTGTGAAGATAATCATGGTTTTTCTCTTTAAGCTGTGAATACATTGAATTATAATAATAGATTTCCTAAAATTAAGTCATCATTGCATTCCTGGAATAAACTCTATTTGGACATGGCATGTTATTATTTTAATTTATTCATGAATTATTTTTCTTAATATTTAGAAATTATTTGTTGTTTTCTCTTTGTGCATATGTGATGTCTCTGACAGATTTTCAAATCAAATTATATAAATTATAAGGAAGAATATAAACACAGGGATTTAATTTGCCTCTCTCAATCTATGACAGCTATTTAAACGATAAAAATGACAAGTAAGAATAGAAGATACCTAAATAATATACTTTCTATAGCAGATTTAAGGAAAATAGACTCTATAGCTTTAAAGTATGCTCTATATTCTGAGAACAGAAAATGCATCTTCTTTTCTACTCTGAAATGTTTACAGCATTAATGATAAGGAAACCCTGAATAGATTCTGAGACATACAAATAAAACAGAAAATAAATCAGAAAATAAGCCTGGTTCCAGGTGCATTAGTTCACACCTGTAACCCAGCTACTTGGGAGTCTGAGGCAGGAGGATCTCAAGTTCAAAGCAAGCCTGGCAACTCAGGGAGACCCTATCTCAAAATAAAATAAAATTTTTATAGAAGGCTGGGCATGTTGCTCAGCAATAGAGTACTTGCCTAGCATACAGGAAGCTTTGGGTTCAGTCCCCAGTACAGCAAAAGAAAGAACCCTACTACCTGGATATATAATTTTTTTTTTAAATCAGAAGTATAGAATATCCAGTGTTATAGTTTAGATCCAGGATATCTACAAAGGTTTATGTATTGAAAGTTTGTTCCCCAACTGGTGGTACTTTTAGAAAGTGGTGAAGCTCTAGGATACTCTATATTTGCATAATCATGTATTTCTCAGAATGTGTTCCTAACATCAAGCAATCCATGACTGCACATGTGTGTATGTGCATGTTTGTATTTATACATATACAAGTCATTAGGTAATTTCAGATTAAATCCATAATGAAATACTAGCACATACCTATCCAAATGATCAAATCCAAAACACTGACAACAGCAAATCCTGGTGAGGATACAGAGCAACAGGAATTCTCATTCATTACTAATGGGAATGAAAAAAAGGTATAGCCACTTTGGAAGATAGTATGATAATTTCTTACAATATTAGACATAATGTTGTCAATATGATTCAGCAATCATGCTCCTTTATATTTACTCAAAGGAATCAAAAATTTATGGTCACACGAAAATCTGCACATGGCTGTTTATAGCAACTTTATTCACAATTGCCCCATTTTGGGGTTTTTCTATTTAATCCTTATTTTTCTGGGACAATAGGTTGAAGTGCATTTGGAGTTTATACATACATACATACGTGAACATATGTGAACAGATAATAAAATGTGGTATATTTGTACAATGGAATATTCAGTATTGAAAAATATGAGCTGTCAAGACACAGATAGACATGGCAGAATCTTAAATATATATTACTAAGTGAAAGTAGCCAGTCTGAAAAATTAACATACTATATGATTCCAACTATATGATATTTTGCAAAAGGCAAAATCATGAAGACAATAACCTATCAGTGATTGTCTAGGGGTTTAGGGGACAGCATGAATAGGTGGATCACAGAAAATTCTTAGGGCAGGAAAACTATTCTGTATGATATTACAATGATGAATATATGTCTTTATACATTGGTCAAAACCCACAAAATGCATTATACAGAGAGTGAATCCTAAACCAAACTATGGACTTTGGTTGAATGTGATGTGTAGTGCTAGTCCATCAGTTAAAACTAATGTATGGAATAGATGCAGAATGTTGATGGTGGGGAAGACTGAATGTATGGAAGGTTGGTATGTGAGAAATCTCTGTACTTTCCTCTCAGTTTTGCTTTGAACCTAAAACTGCTTTAAAAATAAAATGGTAGCCAGGCGTGGTGGTGCACACCTGTAATCCCAGTGGCTCAGGAGGCCAGCCTCAGCAATGGCAAGGTGCTAAGCAACTCAGTGAGACCCTGTCTCTAAATAAAATACAAAATAGGGCTGAGATGTGGCTCAGTCATTGAGTGTCCCTGAGTTCAATCTCTGGTACCCATCCCCTGCCAAAATAAAAAATAATAATAATAAAATGTTAAAAAAAAAAAAAAAACAGCCTATAATCTCAGCTACTTGAGTGGCTAAGGCAGGGAAATCATGAGTTCAGGCCAGCCTGGGCAACATTGTGAAACACTGTCTCAAAAAAGAAAGAAAGAAAAGAAATATAGTGGTAGCAGAACAAAAGGAAATGCAATATTATTGAGTCAGTTTTTTGGGGGAACATGGTATGCTTTTTCAATGCGCAAATTAAAGTATTACTTCATTTCTAGAAATTTTTCTAGAATCATGTTTTTAACTATTTGTTTTTTGTGTTTTAATTGTAAATGGACACAATGCTTTTATTTTATTTATTTTTATATGGTGCTGAGAATTAAACCCAGTGCCTCAGATGTGCTAGGCAAGCGCTCTACCACTGAACCATAACCCCAGCCCCTTAAACATTTGTTTCTATTCCATTATTTTTATTTCTTCTTTGGGAACTCTGCATGTTTTGAATCTCCTCTACTTGTCTCTTACATCTTTTGTTTTATCTTCTATATCTCTATGATTTTAAAATTTTGGTATCTGTAGATGGATGGCATACCTTTATTTTATTTATTTACCTTTATTTTATTTGTTTATTTTTATGTGGTGCCAGGAATCAAACCCAGTGCCTCACACATGCTAAGCAAGTGTTCTACCACTGAGCCACAACCCCAGGCCCAATTTGTTTAATTTTTATGTGGTGCTGAAGATCTAATCTAGTGCCTCATACGTGCTAGGCAAGTGCTCTGCCACTGAGCTCCAGCTCCAGCCCAGATATATCTCTCTATATTTTTGAAGTTTTAATTTCCATTTTTGTTTTCGGACACATCAATGATTTAATTTAACTCATTGATTAGTAAGGGAACCAGTAAGATGTTACAAACTGGTTCAAAAAGAAAGAAAGAAAGAAAGAAACACATATACATTCAAGCAAGAAGAATACTGAAATAAATTTACAAAACTGGTAAATATCCACAGAGAATGATTAGTTTAATCTCCGTGGAACAAAATTTACTTACATTTCCTTACACAAGAATAATTTGCATTATTAACAGTTTTCTACAAATTATTGAATTGAAAAATGACTCACACAATTTAGGTAGAGATAACCTTGAAGGGTACACTTGAAAGGACATACACTAATTTCTTTTTTCTGCTTCAAAGCCTTTTGCAATTTTTTTTTTTTTTGCATAGTATTCCATCTACCTCCCTCCTCTGTGATCATAATAATCTCATAGAATATTATTCTTAATCACAAAACAAGCTAATTTCATTAGATTTGCCCTGATTGTTTACATAGGTACAGCATGAGTGTTAATAAACCAACCAGGCCTCCTTGGATTTACTTTGCATATCTAAAGCTATAAAATACTGAACAACTACTAAGGCTACAGATTCAAATTCTGTCTAGATGCTTCTATAGGGAATCTGAGGTTGGCTATCTGAAACCCTCTTCGATGCTACTTCAAAGTTAGGTAACCAAGTTCAAGAAATCTGTCCACCAGATTTCACTTGTCATGCTTTATAAATTTATGGAAATTCATCTCTTTTCAAGGTTCCCTAAATTTACTAAGTAAGGTTCTTGGCCTGCCAGAAAGTAAATTTCCTACTACTTTTAAGACTGGGACCCTGTAAGACAGGCCAGTTCCCTGACGTAAATTTGAAGTACAGTCAACCTTATCTCTTTAAAGTAGCATATCATACCTGATTAGATGAGTATCATATAATATTGATACTCTAGGTAAGACCTTAATATGTCCAATTATATCATGATGAAAAGGAGGAACAGATTCTTATAGAACCAATGTGAATAAGTATATTTCAATGAAAAGTAGGGAGATTTAGTAAGAGTTTGATCATATCATTTTAAAATAATTTAGTTTCAGCATCTATTGAATTGTTTTGACTTACAAATGGCTTGTGAAGAAAGTTTTCTCATATAAGACTGGAAATGGAACATTAAAACAACATTGGCAGTATTCTAAATAAATAACCAGAGTAAAATTTCTCTTTCATCAATTTATTCAGTCCTGTGTTCTGCTGAATCTTGAGTTAGCAGTCTGCTTTCATGAAGTTTTATGCTTTTGAACTCAAAAGCAATTCCTGGAAATCCTAATTAGCCCACGGATATGGCCTGAAAATTGTCTGTGCACTATCAACTCAAGCTTGTAACTAAGAGTCTATTCTGACATGTCAATAATTTGAAGCACATAGTACTGTCTTTTTCTGTGAAGCACCAATACTGACCTATTCTGTTGAAGATATAATCTCTGGCCTGTAGATTTTGCAGAGTTCTCAGAAAAATACCAGTATTTT